ATACAGTATTTCACACTTCCTACACTTGCAGCACTGCCCCTCTGAGGTTTTCCATTTATTTCTCCAGGCTTTCCCTGGATATATTCTGGTGAATTCTTTCTGCCCTCCCACTCTTCACAGAAATAAAAGCACTGTACAAAGCCCTCCTCCTTTGTCTTCCCCATCTTTTCGCTCCAGACCAATTCTTTGATAGGTAAGATCAATCATATGCAAGTTTAGACAACTATCTCCTAAAAATGGATGGAACATGGTCAGTTAATATCCTTAACTTCCCTTTTGTCTTCAGTGCAAATCAGCTGATTTTTGATTTTTCCCCACAGTCTTGACAGTCTTCTTTCCTCAGCTCTTCTAATGTGGTCTAGATACTTCCTCTGTAGGTTTGCCTTGATGTCATTCTCTACCACCAAACTACTAAAGCTATGAGTAAGTTAAGGAGGATGTAAGACAGACTGGGTATTGAAACATTAGGGTAAGGTTCCCTCCCTTGAGCCACCCCACAAAAAAGGACAAGATTAGGTTTAACACTTACACCACTGGAACAGCACTGAATTTTAACTACTGCCATCCAGAAGCAGCCAAATGCAGCAACTGAAGGCAACTTCTGAGGGAGTAGCATCATTAAGAATGATCCTTGTGTTGCAGAGGAGGAAAGTAAAGTGGTTGTTGATTGATGGAAGTCATCACTCTGATGCCAGGAAAAGAGGCTCAAGAATTGCTTGGTAATGATTCCTGAGACACGAGAGAGAGGTTTGGTGGCGGGTTTTTTTATGAATATCTGTGATGCTTTGTAGGTCAGTTACCAGCATCTCGTAACAGCCTACACTCTCCCAAGCTGCACCCACAGTTAAGTCAAAAGTAAACACCTACAAAAGTAGCTCACTGAAAGACTTCTGTACTTAAGCATCGTATATTTAACAGATACCTAGCTTTTACAAGATCAGAAACAAGAACTACAGACAACTAGGGAACCCCCTTTTTCCTTCCAAAAAAGCAAGTTTTCCATAGTCTATAGACCTGAAGATACAACTCGAACTTCCCAGAGTTCTTTTGTGGTGGAATAAAGAGGAAAAAAAAAAATTCACTAGCAAAATCACTGAGTCAAAAAAAACCCTGTCTGAATGTTCTCAAGGGCTTAGAAAGTTGGAATTAACTTCTGGCTAAAAAATGTAGTGTGATACAGGCCAAAAAAAACCCCAAACCAACTAATAATCTAAAGATTATTAAGTGTGCTCTTCTGAGGACCTATCAGACATATGTTTTTGCCACTCTTTCAGTGTCATCATCCATCATGGAAACTGAATTAACAGATCAAATCACTGAAAGACACTCATGCAAATAGTCAGTGCCCAGAAAGAATCATCCATAAAACTGTATTTCCCAAATGCTCAGACAACATGCAAAGAAATGTGCACTTCCACTGTTGGCTGCCCAGCTTTACATTGTTATTAGCATTGTGATAAATCTACGTTTTTTCAGTTTTAGATCTGTATTTTCCAACAGCTTAACAACTAAGTTACATTTCTGTAACGTAGCTCTACTTTAGGATCAGTCTTCCTCTTAAAGATTTTTTCTAGTTTTTTCTGCTTATATTTTCACTGAAGAGAATTCTTTCTATGGCTTTTTTCTAGCACATATTCCTCTCTAAGATGAAGTTTAACATTAATAACTGACTTCAGCCAGACCACCCTCCCAAACATCCAGAATATCAAAATTTGATTACATTGGATAATTTCTGTACCAGATTCTTTGGTACCCTTGAAAGAGTTAGAAACAACAGTTACATTACGCATTAGCAATTCTTTGATTAGTCTATATTATAGGTAGCATTTTCCTTCCTACTACTACATTCACTCATTTAATCTATAAAACTGGACATTAGCTTAGAATTGACTTTTTTTTTTTTTTTAAAACCAAATCTGTGTTTTACCAAATGAAAACCCACTTAGGTTTTTTCAGACCACAGTTTTGTGTTCTGGATAGCTTTTTCATTCTTTTAAAAACAAAGTATACAGCCTGACACCACCTATCTTAAACTAATCAGCTGTTATTTCTGCAGATATTGTAGATTTTGGAAGCTTTTTATGCAGCTTATAGACTCTTCTGCAATTATTCTTAAAACATATATTTATCCTTCTCTTATTGGCCCATAAAATAATAAAATTATTTATGCTCCAAGCCCTGAACTACTGAGAACCTCTCTCCATGTCCAGACAGCAACATCACCATTTTCAGCAGTTTAAAAATAACCTTTCTCCATTCCTTTCTTCCCAGCACAAAAAAAACCCCTAATTCGGGAGAGTGAAAAGTTCTAAAAGTTTGTCAGTTACTTATTTTGCAATATTATCTAGTAGCCCTAGTCTGCAATTAACAATGCCACTACAGTAAACATGCTCAGCAAAAGATCTCATCACCCAAGAGAACTGAGTGTAAGTCAGAATGCAATGGGTGGACAAAGAGAAAGTAAAGGAAACCATAAGGTCATTTAGGTACTGTGTACCTACTGTAAATACAAACCATAACACAGCAGGACAGGAGTAGTTACAAGTTTATACCTGACATGAAGAAAGAAAACACTGAAATAAAGAATGGGTTTCATACCAACACTTTTTTGGTATATTTTTTTTTTTAAAAATGCCAGCAGCATGCCTGAATTTAAGATCTGCCTCAATATCCCAGCTTACACATTTCTACTTGATTCCAGATCTGCTTTAGTGTTAATGGTCTGTTAAATGGAAGATCTGTGTTACTATGCTGTATCATTTCTACCTTCACTATTTTAATCCTCTGGAAGATAGCTAAAGACAACAGGGAAACATTTTTTTTAATGCTTTTTTTTTTTCTTTTAATTTATTACAAGAACAGTGAGAACTCACTTTGAAAGGTCAGTATTGCTCATACTCAATTTCATTTTAGTAGTCTGAAGAACCATCTCATCTTTGACTTTAATAGATTAGTTTAACGGAAGTCATTGTAAGCAGCAAAAATCAGACAAGATCAAAAGCTTTCATTTGTGTGAGATTTGCTTAATTTAGAGGTAACACAGGAACTCCTCATGGATATAACAGTTCTGATGAAGAATGTTACAAACCAACTTTGCAAAACATTGGGCTCTTGAATGAGGATACGCTACAACAGCACAAGTGTGTGTAAGTTAAGCAAACAGTACTACCACATGCAAGCACCTTCCTGAGCAAATCACCAAAGAAACAGAAGTATTGACACATTTTTTTATGAACTTAGCCATCAACCTCTCTATTAAGACTAGCATATTACAATTATGGCACAGGATGACATCAGAAACATGCACAAAGTAATAATTGCATGGCCCATCCCCAGAAACAGAGTAACAAACCCTTATAAGCATCTATTTCACAGAAGTGCAAGATCCCCACTTAAATGTTGTTTTTAAGTGATCCCTGGTCTAAAGTTGTATTTTTAAATGTCCTCTTTTTCCTACACAGCAAAGACTCCACAACAATAGGAGTTTATATCACCCTTTTTATTTTTCAGCCAGAAATACAGTTTCATAGGGTATAACAATAAACAGTGGTGTTTATTCCTTACACAAAACCCCCATGTCTTTGGCATCTGACCATATTCTGTTTTTCAAACTAAAGACTATATAGGAAGATTTTACTTTCAAGATCATTGTTCAATACATTAAATTTACACAGGTGTAGTTAACTTTTAAAAATACACATCAGTTTGTTGCAAAGATTCTAATAAACCTAAAAAAAGATAACCAAACCAGCAAAATGCAGACTACTGGGCTGCCTTCATTTACAACTGTGGAGTAGGTGACAGATTGAGAACTCTTCATTTTCCACAGCACATGCACTAACTAGTGCTTTCTATTCATTATGAATGATAAACAAACAAACAAAATCTTGATTCTACCAGAAACAACTGAACAAATAATTTATGTTTCAAAACAATGCAGGTGTCATCAGCCAAAACCAAGTTGCACACTGCTTCAGTAAAAGATTGCACCTAAAAGGAAAGTCTGAAAACTAAAAACTATTTTTCATTTTTAAAACATAAGTTACTACAATGTTTTAAACACATGTAGGAATACAACTGTCAAAACTGCAACTGATGTCATGTTTGGATAAAAAATTCTTAAGTAACAAAGCCAGCGCATTCAATCTGTTTTGTTGAATAATCCAGGATCATCACTTCAATGCTGATAGAGAAATACTTCACTTGCACTCCATCAAAAAAAAAACAAACCTGGCCGTCCAGATCTCAAGTGTTCAGTGCTTCAAATCAACTGAATTTCCAAAGCAATGCTGAAGTTATTTGACACCTTCCATTACTATACATGATACAGAAATCGTGAATTAAGATCAAAAATATTACTGGCATGACAGTGTATTTACTGGAATCTGAAGTGAATCCTTGTTTGTGTGTCAAGACAATGTAAAAAATAAATCCCGCTAACAACAACAAAATCTTCACTCCCCAAAGGATTTTTTTTAATACTTATCCTGAACCAGTTTTCTAGAACAGAGGAGGCAAAGCAGTTACTTCCATGCAGAAATTAAAAAAATAATTTAATAGGATTCAAGTAGAAAAGGTTTGTTTTATGAGTGACTCTCACCCTCACCACCAGTGCAAGCGCAGTTTGCAAACGTTTGAACTGGATTGTTTAAATAGCAATTGATCCAATTTAGCCAAGCTCATTTTCCTCTCCATGACATAAAAAAAAAATAATACATACATTTTACTGCAGAATACAGTACAAAAACTAAAACCAAAAAACCTCCTAAACTTGAGTATTTATCCAAGAGCAGTTTCTAACATCAAGCCAAAATTAGCAACAACCAAGCAGACATTACCAATTTTAAGTGTTAAATTACTGTAAGTAGTAGATCTAACTGTACAAAAAAAAATATCCCAAACTGAAAAATCAAGGGTTTTTTGTTAAAAGGTGTCCAAAGAAATATCCACCAGTTGCAGTCAAATTTGCATCAGAAGCTGCTTGCTTAAGAAAGATTTCCCCCTCCAAGTATTTGTAACACATTGCATTGCCAAGATTCTATTCAGACAAATTACTTCCTGATAACATTTAGCTGATACAACCACCTACAATGTGGACAGTCATGTACACAGTACAACAGTGGATTTTTGCAGCAACAGAGAAGTAATCAGAAACTGGTTCTAGATTTGAGATGATAGCTCATGTGTTATTTCTTGCAAACATACGGTCCCCTCTAAGGGTAAGGTGTTGGAGCTGGTATTGTAGCACTTCTGTGTCAGCAGGTTCCTTAATGCTCATTTTGTCTAAATTGAGGTAGTCCAGGGATTTTGAATGAGCCCTTTTACCTTTTAAAAGGCAAAGAGGAAGGGGACCATGAAGTGCCTTGTAAGGTTCATACGGTAAAGCCTTAGTGCATTTATCCCCTGAGCTGGGCATCCTTCTCCTTCTCCTTCCATTTACTGCTGGGATCTCATATGGCTGATAGTACCTGCTTCTAGTTTTGTACAAACGGGAAGAACGTGTAAGTCCTGAATCAAGCTGTTTGGAGCGCAAGTTTGGCCCAGATTCCCCTTTATTCTCTTCACTTGCTGTACACTTCTGGGCTAATTTCAGCAGCTCCTCTCCAGTCGTGAAGCCAACCAGGTAGTTAGAATCCATGTGAAGGATCTGGTATCCCGCAACCGTCCGTCGCATTGGTGAGCAGGGGGTACTGGAACAGCGGGGCTTCTCTGCTTCCATCCTGCCCGCAGGACTCACCTCTGCAAGAGGCACAGGGAGGGTGGAGAGGGTAGTTCTGGACTCTCCATTTATGTCAACTTCCATTTTAAACACAATGCTATGCTCCTAAAAATAAAACAGAGCTTGGTCAGAAGCAGAGCCTTTATGCAACACGAGGACCTGAGAGAGGATACAAAAGTATCACTGACATCTCCCTTTTAAAATTATCTTGCGTGGTTTTTTAATAGAAGATACCATAAATATACTCCTGATATTCTTAAACATTTAAAACATTATTGAGTAGTACTGTAGACAAAAAAGAAGCATCTTTCCAGTCCATTTTTGCATCCTTTTAGTCCATTTGATTCCTTACAGCCCCTCTCCTCTGAGGCCATCTACATCCATTAGCACATCCACAGCAACTTCCCCCTTATTCAGCTGTGTATTTTTTATATTGACAATAATCTCAGTAAACAAAGCTTTTAAAAACCATGTCTAACAGCTACTACCTCAGTGAGGCACAACCACAGACCAGACCTGATCTACTGTGGGTACTGCAATGCTTTCCTCTTCCAGATGTGAACAGTTTGCTTTAGATTCAAAGAATGGCATCCTGGCTGTTCAACAGCTGTCTTTATAGGTCATTAGTAATCCTCCCCTGCCAAAAAAAAACCCCTATCATCTTATTCACAATCAACCAAACTCATACTTTTTTATTCTAATGTACTTCTAACAAAGGAAACAGTATACTAGCATTTAATGAATATAGCATAAGATTCCTATAAGCAACTTAAGAATAACCAATATTCTAAACTATTTGTTTTCCTGTTTCTTTTGGAAACAGGCTATTTTGTCCTGATCTTTCTTCCCTTACAACTATTCCAAATACACAGTTTGGTGCCTTTACAAATACAGCTGTCTGCCACAAGCCTTTACCATCTCTAACATGGAAAGATAAGGTCAATATCACAGCAAGTATACACCAGTGGACATCAGAACACAGAGAAGGCTTAACTATTTTCATTTCTTTGTTTTCAGCATCATCTATACCATCTTGGTGATACAGTTACTTCACCAAACAGAAAGGTCATATTTGTTTCCAAATCCGTGCTTCCTTCATTGTCAGCCTCACCTTTGCTCTACACAGTACCTGGTGACACTCTAGCCGATATAGTTCACAAAAAATTGAGTATAGCTTTACCATGTTTAAAGGTAATGACACTCAAAGAAGAAAGGGAAGTTGGTATGCAAGTGTCAAGCAGAAACACAATTCTGAATTTTATTATAGATGACTGTAAACCACATTCAAAAACCCAATGATGTTTCATATACGAGACTGACTTAAAACATGCTATTATCAGTTTGCAAACTTTTAAAGCTGCTACTTACTGCCATTCTGAGGCTTAGGAGGTCACTGGCTGAGTAGCAAAGGTGCAACAAGCAAGGGAAAGAAAATGCTCCCTCCCTTTCAATACTTCAAACTTCTGCAATTACACATCCCCCCAAATCCCATCAAGATCAATCTGTATCAATTTGTCTTGAAAGGAGCAGTTTAAGTAATGCTCCCATCTCCGCTTCCCTGCTTAGTCTCAAATCAACCTGCTGCTCCCATCCTATGCTAATAAACTAGGAGTAAACAAAATCCCTACAATTTTGCTAACAAGGATTTTATTTACCATTGACAAACTTCTATTACAGAGAGACTACTACTGTTCCTTTATAGTCTTAAATGTCCCTTTCAGTTATCATAATCGTGGCCTACTTCGGATTCTTCGTTACCAGTTTCATGTAGCATCACTTTTACAGTTAACACAGATACACTTCATCAAGTCAGCTTTTTAGCATTTTGAATTTAACAATAGAGGTAGCACAGCAAAAGAAGCTATATAAAGAATCAGAATACTGAAGCAAACCAAACACTAAAATTTGTCACTGAAAAAACCATCCACATAAAACTGAAGAATGTTGCCCATTATATTGGATTGACTTTGAAATATATTTATGGAGTCAATTAAAACTTTCAGAATAGCAGAAGCAGTTGTTGTTTCCTACCTACCTAGCAGTGAGACAATGAATACAGTGAGGTTTCAGCCACTGAGTTAAAAGATACTCATGATAATTCCTTAAGTCAAAATTATAGTTCCTGCACCATCAGGAACCATGGTTACTGGAGGCATAGCACGGAAAAGTTTTGCATTAAAACTTTTGGCTACCCTATGCTTTTAGCCAGGAAACCTAAATATTTAGCTGTTCCTGGTCTTTTAATTCCTGATTTTTACCCTGCAGTTCAGAAATCTTTCCAGTAATCTTCTAGAAAGACTCAACCTATTCTGTTTGAAAGCTGAAATGATGCTAGAAAAAGTATAAATAAAATAGTCATACGGCACAGTTAGAAATGAATCATGTTATGTAGTCACATACGAACAACAGCACCAAAAAAAGAAACAAACAAAAAAGACCCACAAGACCAGCAACCACTTGCAATACGTGCCCTAAGGGAGGGAGGAAGAGATGTCTTCATGCACTTTTTGAGTTAAAAAAGCCTTGAGAAGTTGAAAGCAACACAAAGGCTCTTCTCAGAACACAGCTTTTAAAATTAATTTGCTTCTGTTTGAAACATGGGTGTGTGCCCTGGTAACAAAAAGCAATCAACTTTGAAGAATAACTACAAGGATGAAGGAAGGAGGCAAGAGTTCACTGCTGAACAATTACCTCTCACTGACCAAAAACAGTACAAAGGAAAATCAAAGCAGAAAAGCCTTCAAGTCAGTAAGCTCCAGCCTAGTACTTGAGCCTGAAACTGCAGAACTTTCTGTGCTACAGTGCGAAGAACAGCCCTAAAAACAAGAAATCTGATGGACACTCGAAAGCAACAGTAGCATCAGAAGCGGCTCCCATAAACATCAGAAGCTCAAGGGAACAGCAGTGCTAGCTGGTGAGAGGAATCACTGGCCAGCTCCACAGGCAGAGGTCCAAAACTCAGCACGTATGTGTTCAGCTGTTCTTTCCCAAGACTTTTAATGTGAGTTACTCAAGCTGCCATATGGCTTCAACATGCTTTATCTCCTTATCTGGTAAAAAAAGAAAGAGAAACATTATTTAGAAGACTTCTATGAAAGAAAATAATTTGAGAAATTCACCTACAAATACCTATTTAAAACTTTTAGACTGCATTTTTGGGCCATTTCTGTGGTTATGAGGCATTAGATGACTACTATCAGGTTCATTGCTGGGTAGTGTTGTGAGCTTGTCAGTAATTCTCAGCATCAATTATAATCATATAATCATTTGGTTGGAAAAGACCTTTAAGATCATTAAGCCCAACTGTACCTGTCCACTACTAAACCATTTCTCTGAGCACCTCATCTACCCACCTTTTAAATACCTTCAGGGATGGTGACTCAACCACCTCTCTGGGCAGCCTGTTCCAATGCTTGACCACTCTTTCAGTGAAGACATTTTTCCTAATAACCAATCTAAACCTCCCCTGGCGCAACTTCAGGCCATTTCCTCTTGTCCTATCGCTTGTTACCTTGGAAAACAGGCCGACACCCACCTCACTACAACGTCCTGTCAGGCAGTTGTAGAGAGCAATAAGGTCTCCCCTCAGCCTCCTCTTTTCCAGGCTAAACAACCCCAGTTCCCTCAGCCGCTCCTCAGAAGACCTGTGCTCCAGACCCCTCACCAGCTTTGTGGCTCTCCTCTAGACATGTGCCAGTGCCTCAATGTCCTTCTTGTAGTGACAGGCCCAAAACTGAACACAGCATTTGAGGTGCGGCCTCGCCAATGCTGAGTAGAGGGGAACAATCACTTCCTTAGTCCTTCTGGTCACACTATTTCTGATATGATCCAGGGTGCTGTTGGCCTTCTTGGCCACCTGGGCACACCGCTGGCTCATACTCAGAAGGCTGTAGCATTGCATGGGGTTGTTGTGACCCAAGCGCAGGAACCTCATACAACTGGCCTCAGCCCATCGATCCAGCCTGTCCAGGTCCCTCTGTAGAGCCTCCCTGCCCTCAAGCAGATCAACACTTCTGCCCAGCTTGGTGTCATCTGCAAATTGGCTGGAAGTGCACTCGATCCCCATGTCCAGGTCATTGATATAGGAATTAAACAGAACTGTCCCCAGCGCTGAGCCCTGGGGAACACCACTTGTGACTGGGCGCTGACTGGATTTAACTCCATTCGCCACCACCCTTTGGGCCAGTGAGCCCTTTCCAGCCAGTCTTTTACCCAGCAAAGAGTATACCTGTCCAGGCCATTGGCAGCCAGGTTCTCAAGCAGAATGCTGTGGGAAACAGTGTCAAAAGCTTTACTAAAGCCAGGTACACTACATCGACAGACCTTCCCTCACCCTCTAAGACTTGCCATAGAATGCGATCAGGTTAGTCAAGCAGGACCTGCCTTTCATAGACCCATGTTGACTGGGCCTGATCTTCTGGTTGTCTTGGAAGTGCTGTGTGTTGGCACTCAAGATGACCTTCCACGGCACCAAGGTCAGACTGACAGGCCTGTAGTTCCCTGGATTCTCTCTCTGGACCTTCTTGTAAATGGGAGTCACATTTGCCAACCTAAATAATAATACCGAAAAACCTGAACACCTAATACTGAAATGCCTAAAACTGAAGACCTAATACTGAAAAAAACAGTACTTCAGTTTAGAAAGAGTATTTCTTCAGATCACAACTGTCTTGTCTTCTTGCTTCTCAAAGAGAATGACAACAGAGTGATGCCAATTCAAGGCAATTTATAATTAAAGATTTACCATAGAATCAAAACAAGGAGAAGAGGCACAAAAGCATAAGCTTTTCTTTGCTGCTGCTGCTTCACATACTTAGAAAGTATGGAAAATAACTGAAAATAAGTTACCAGGAGGATTCAGTTGACCAATACATACCAGAAGTGCTTCCAGAATACAATTACTTAATTAAGATTTTACAAGACTTTATCAATTCTCTTGAATATTACAAACTATAACATATAAACTAACCTGACTTAATCCAGCTGAATACTGAGAAATCTGTCTAAAGCACAGATAAAAGGAATAATGAATAGAAATACTAGGTTAACAATTGTAAACCACTGTATTACCTCAAAGAATGTATTAATATACTTGAGATAGTTCTTTGAGGGTAAAAACATTAAAACCTCCATATTTTGTGAATATGAAGGC